CGTTCGTCGATGAACTCAACACCCAGCACTTGGGTGAACCCAGCACTGGATTCGCCCGCATGAACCCAGCACCACCTGGGTTTGCCCCTGAGAACCCATCACCTGGGTTCGCCCCTGAGAACCCATCACCTGGGTTCGCTAGGATCGTGGCGAACCCAACTCCTGGGTTCGTGACGAACCCAGCACCTGGGTCTCTGTTTTTTTTTTTTTTTTGGTAATAATCCTGGCTTTTGGTTGGATGAGGAAAAAGATGGTTAAGAAGATGGGAAGAAACACATTAACCTGGGTTGTGCGAGAAAGGAACGGTGGGATGTTATAACTGGAACCTGTATATAGTGGTTTTTTTGTAAATAAAAGCAAATGTGGTGACAAAATAAAAAGAGTGAGTAAAATTCATTAAACCAAAAAGTAGAAGTTACCGCATAAGCACGAAATTCGTGCTTCTCAAAATTGCATTAAAATAGGAGAAGATGAGCTTTTCAGAAGGACTTATAGTTTTCACATGTATTGGTGTTTGATGTCGCTAGAGCTTTTAAGCCCAAAAAAACTTTCCCACTAGTTGTGCCAAACACACCCTAAAGTTGCTAAAAGTCCTTTGTTCCTCCACTCTAAGGGCTAAAAGACTGCCATCCCAAAGAGTCCACCTTTGTGGTAGCATAACTATAATCATTAATCTCCCCCATCTATTGCTTCCCAAGCATCTCACATGGATAAACACACAAGAGACACTGTTGACATTCATCCAAAGTCATGAAAACTAAAAACCCTTAATTATTTATACATGAAAATGTTCTAAATAGAGACTTACCACAATACTTGCATAAACAAAAGGTCTTTAAGCAACTGTAAAGAGACTATATCCAAAAGACATAAAACAAATCTCCATTGTTGAAGAGACAATACAGTACCAAGAGCAACACTAGCATCTATTCACTAAGGTGCAAAGCTACACCAAAAGACAACACAAGACCCTCACCAATGGAGGGATGAAAAGAGATAAACTATCAACAATAAGGAGTCCCACTACTAGATGAACAAAGCCATTAATGTAACTAGGGTTTTCTTTTCTATTTCTAGTTTAGAGTTAAGAATACATATAACAATAATTTTCAACTCAAACTGACTAAAAATCAACAATCTTTAATGCATATATCTATTTTATCTTGTATAGATATTTTATGTTAATTATTATTGAGATTTTTTACTTGATATCACTAATTTACTATATACTCAATTTTAAGCTGTAATAGTAAGAGTTAAAAAATAACAAAAAAAAAGTTGTAAAAGTAAGAGGTGAAAGTAGGTTGTAACAATAAATGTTGATATTAATAGGTTGGTAAGTTTCATCCCTAACTTGCCTATAAATGGAGTAAAAGGCAAGCATTTCGATCCAAGCATAGAAAGCCTTGTAAAGGGAGAGCTTATCTTTCTAAAAGCTTTCATATAATATAATGGTGTGTTTAGCTTACATGGCTTTCTAAGTTCTTTGAAATATTAGTGCTTGACTATCTTCCTAGTAAGTACCATACCCAAATAAGTATGCTCTATGTTTACAACTTAATGTTAATCTTCTGCATCAGAAAGCTTGAGGCTTTGATAGTTACGGGCTCGTGATTCATAAAGTCCTAGTTGGGTTAGACCTCTTAAGAGACCTTTGGATTCTTGAGATAATAACTAGTTCGATGAGCTAGAAGGTTTGCTAAAGAACTTTAGGCTTATTGAGGAACCATGCTACAAAAGGCAATGATGTTGTGCTGATGCCCAAGATAGGCTTGTTGTGTCCTTTTTCTTGTTGAATTTAAATGCTCCTCTTTTTTCATTCTCTGTGTTGGTCTTAGGGTAAGCTCTGTATGCGAAAGGTTGACCTATAGGTTAAACTGCAACCTTATATTGAGTCCTTAAGGCTGGATTATTAGCCTATCTATTTTGGAGCAAATCAAAACCAATTACCGTGTGCTTTGCTAATTGTTATTATTGGTAATAAAATTAACATTTTACCAAAAGAAACGTCAATTGCTTCATAGCTTCATATTCTGAACTTTGATATGGGAAATTATTATAGTTAAAAGAAATAATAAGATATCCACTACATTGCTATTGTATTTAAAACAAATACTCAGTTATTAATAACCTAGAAAAATTTGGCCAAGAAACTTCAATGGACACCATCTGATCATTATAGCTAAATCCAACATCGACTCCATCAATCTTACAAGAAATTGGCTTCTCTGTTGCAAACACTCCCATTTCCCCCTTTCCTTTCACTCCAATTCTAACTGAATTTCCATCATCATCAAAGTCTATGCTTTGGATTGCACGCCCAGAATTAAGCATGTTCACTAATCCAATGGGGCAAAATCCAATGGATTTTATTGGTAGAATTGTCACGGGAGAAACTGTAAGGAGTTCATAGTTCAAGGGCTCTTGTGAAATCTCAATTTTCTCTGTAAACTTCATCAACTTCATATACTTCCTTTGGAAAATGTACACAGCAAATTGGTGCGCACCTTGAATAGAGATTGTATCCTTTCCGTGCCTCCATTCAATATTTTTGGGATAGACTAAACAGCCCACCATGCCTAAAAACTTAGAGGCTCTCTTGGTCTTCCTATACTTTGGAAACCACCCTCCTCCTTGACAATTAAACACTCCTACAACTCCTGTATGCTGGGAAATTACAAAACATTTGATAATTGATTAATATACTGCTACTAATTCATAATTCAATCAATGGTATTAAAACAAGAAATAACATAATTTTTTACTTTGTTGAGGTTCCAAATCTTTGAGCATGGTTTTGCCATCGTGCAAAGGGTCTTCAAAGAGGCAGTCTCTCGTAGGAAGTGCGCAGCTATGACATCTAAGAATAGACCCATCAGGCAATACTAGGCTCTTGAGTAATTTGAAATTGTGTTGCCCAACTGAGTCACTTACATAAACTGGTTCACCAGAGATCGCCTGAGTGACCCCATGAATTTAGCAAAAGGGTGGGTAGATTGGAACATGTCCCAATCTAGCTGTATAAAATTACCTAACCATAGGTTGTTGTAGGCGCAATGCACCAAGTGACATCCCTGCAACTAGAATGTCCCATCTGTATCTGCATAAGGATCATTGCACCAAAAATCATCTTTTGTACAACTAGATGTTTTTCAATTAATTTTAGGGAAATGATTTTATTAATAGAAGATGAGTTAAATAAAATTAATAAAATTTATGAGTTTTAAATACTAAAGTACCTGCACGCCCAAGGGTTATGGCTTCTGTTCCAAGGAAAAGGAAGTCGTTGCATTGTTCCATGCTAGCAATGATGTCATTTCCTTTGAAATATTTCCGTAAAGAAGTTGTTAAAGCCTTATAAAAAGTAATAGCAAGCTCAACCCGACCCCTAAAATCCTCCCCAAGCATCTCAAGTACCTAAGAGACAGCAATTGTCAAAAAAATATATTAAAGATATGCCTTTCTATTAAAATCGGTATTAGAGATTGTCAACAACTTACTTGAATCACATCAATCTTAATTCCATCTATTCTGGTCGACTCAAGATGAGATTGAAGTCCTTCGTACATCTTGTTAGCCATCTCTGGTTGGACTATCCGTATCCCATCTCTTGAGATATTGTTTGTGGCAAAATCCTCCATAAACATGTGAAATCCTGGTGACCACTTGGGTTCAATGGCCTTCGCCTCCAGCATGCCTAGGACATTGGGCTTGATCCCACCCCAATATCCACACAAAGCCTCCCACATGTAAACATATTCTATGGTCTTAAACTCCTCTTTCAAGTCACTAACAACTGCACTCATGCCCTTGGTATTGGGTAATTTGGCACTCTCATAGTCTTTAAACTCATGATCTTCTTCAAATTTTACTAGTCTATATGGGATTTCTTCACCAGTAACGGCACGATCCATGCCTTCTTTGTCAATAGGGTCATCATCTAGGCATATGGATTGCCATCCATTATCTATAACAACCATCCCTGGAGGGCATCCGCCCTTAACTAGGCCCTTGACCCCTTTAATTACACCATTAGCATCTACCCTCCGATTAAAGGCATCCCAAGTGCACCATCCAAATTTACCTACTATCCCCGGTATAGTTTTTTCTTCAAGAATTAATCTGGAAAGTGCCTAACTGCATTTTAACCACCTTTATCACCTCATTCAACACACTATATGGATTATCACCAATATGCATATTAAGACAAGATCTGAAACTGGACCCATGTACCTTCGTGGACCCACTTTCCACACAGATGTCCACGTAATCATCAATCCCTGCCTAGAGAGAAACCGTGAACGGTCCTTCGATTAGTGGGAGGAGAACAACGTAGGGGCGTCCAGTGTCGTTTTTGTCCAGGATCATTATCTAGGTCTCATACTCCACATCCCTTTCCCTGTTTCTGACCCATTGGGTGGGCCACCATTTTTTGAACTTGAATACACCGGTGAATCTTATGCCACTGAGCTTGCCAATGGGCACCAAATGTCGGTTTTTCGATTCGGTCGTATGGAACCCAACAAACAATCCAACGGCGGTACCTAGCTCGGTCTTTTCTGAAGCAAGATATGATTATGGGGACCATGGGGTGGCTGTGATGTTTGCTGGGACTTCCTTGAGAATTGGATGACCGTTGGCAAGGAAGCTTGTTGAATTGACTAGTAACGATGTGGGAACTTCACCGTCGAGGACGGTCGCTTCGTCATGGGCGCTTTTAGCAATCAATCTTGGAGGAGCCATGGGTGAAGAAACTTTAAACTCTTCGTCGAAGTTTAGGGAAGAGTGAGATTTTTTTACATGTTTTGGTGATTGAATGGATTTCATATATAGGTACCTCGTACATAAAGAAAGCAAA